TACTCTACTCTACTCTACTCTACTCTACTCTACTCTACTCTACTCTATTCTATTCTATTCTATTCTATTCTATTCTATTCTATTCTATTCTATTCTATTCTATGTTCACTGCTATGTTCACCGGTAGTAGGGCGTCATTTTTAAAAGAATTGGCTTTGCCTTCGAAGGCGAAGGGAAGGCGGTGACAGGAGCGCCTGAAGCCGAATGTCTCCGCCGGGCTCCGGTTGCAGGGAGGAGCCCTGGCTGGCCGCGTGTGGCTGCGCCAAACGCCGGCAGCATGGGGAGAAGGGAAAGCAACGGGGGTGGAAGGTCTCCCGATACGAAGTGCCCCACCAACGCCGAAGTCAACGCAGGCAGCACCATATCCGGGTATGCAACAAAAGTACTTCCTAATGGCAAGCCCCCCCGCCATTCTCCATCATTTTGCATGTTTAATATAGGCCTTAATTTGGGGGCAGGGGCTTAATTTGATTTTATGCCTATAAAACATGCCGGGACTTTCTATTGGGGGAGGCCATATTGTTGGAGAAACACGGTATATTCTTCTCTACACTCTACTCTACTCTATTCTATATTCTCCTCTACACTCTACTCTACTCTACTCTATTCTATATTCTAGGGGTGGGATTCAAATTTTTAACAACTGGTTCTGTGGGCGTGGCTTAGGTGGTGGGCATGGCTTAGGTGCTCATGTGACTGGGTGGACATGGGGTCATGTTATTGGCTGGGTGTGGCCAATTCAATATCACTCACATCGAGGCACGCATCTCCTCGCCTGACCTCTCATGACTGTGGGGATGCTGCAACAGTCGTAAGTGTGAAAAAGGGTCATAAGTCACTTTTTTTCAATGCCATTATAACTTTGAATGGTCACTCCACACAAGCAAAGTACCAGCAAAGGAGGGGAAAAAAACTCCAGAGAAGTTCCAGAGACAGGAACTCTAGTCCTTCCAAGAATGTAATAAGGGTTAACGGAGAGGCAGTTTCTGTAAGCAACACCAGAATGTTTCCTTCCTTACAGGATTAGGCCAGTAATTTCTTCTAACAACCGGTTCTCCAAACTGTTAACAATGTTAACAACTGGTTTTAGCGAATAGGTGCGAACTGGTAGAATCCCACCCCTGCTATATTCTCCTCTACACTCTACTCTACTCTACTCTTCTGTTGTTCTGTTCTATTCTATATTCTCTTCTACACTCTACTCTATATTCTTCTCTACACTCTATTCTACTGTACTCTATTCTATATTCTCCTCTACACTCTACTCTACTCTACTCTACTCTACTCTACTCTACTCTACTCTACTCTACTTTCTGTTCTATTCTATTCTATTCTATTCTATTCTATTCTATTCTATTCTATTCTATTCTATTCTATTCTATTCTATTCTATTCTATTCCATTCCATTCCATTCCATTCCATTCCATTCACACAATCCCCTTTTGTGACCTTCTGACAAGCAAAGTCAATGGGGAAGCCAGATTCACTTAACAACCATGGCAAGAAAGGTCATAAAATGGAGCAAAATTCACGTAACACATTTCTCTTTTAACAACACAAAAAATTGGGCTCAATTGTGGTCTAAGTTGAGGATTACCTGTACAACAAATCCAGAGATGCTCTGAACAAATGGAGCTATCCGAACTTTGGCCCCTTGTGATTGTGGTGACAGGCAGACAATGACACAAATGTACACGTGCCCTTTGTGTCCCAATGGGCATACACTTGAAGACCTCGTGGCAGTGCAGCAGAACACAATTAACGTTGCTAGTTTCTGGGCAAGATCTATTTAATTTGTACCTTTTTCAACCTTGCATTTTATATTTTAAATCTTATATCATACAGTGTGTCTTATTTTAATTGTGATGCTTCTGACACAAATAAAGAAAACAAGTTCAGGGTAACACGACTAAGCAATGCACTGAACTCTTATAATTCTATATTGTACGCTGGTTCCTGTAAACATGAAATTTTATTTTAATTTTATTTATTTTGATTTGCCAATCACTCACAAGATAATAGGTATAAGTATAAACATGAGTAAGAATACAGGAAATAGGTACAAATAAATGGGGACAATAGGACAGGGACGGGAGGCACAATGGTGCACTTATGCAGGCCCCTTGCAGACCTCTTAGGAATGGGGTGAGGTCAATAGTGGATAGTTGGATGTTAAAGGAATGGGGGTTAGAGGATGTAACAACAGAGTCAGATAGTGCATTCCAGGCATTGACCACTCTGTTGCTGAAGTCATACTTTCTGCAGTCAAGTTTGGAGCGGTTTACATTGAGTTTGTATCTGTTGTGTGCTCTTGTATTATTACAGTTGAAGCTGAAGTAGTCATTGACTGGTAGGGCAGTGTAGCAGATAATTTTGTGTACTACGCTTAAGTCCAACCATAGGCGGCGTAGTTCAAGGTTGTCCAAGCCCAAAATTTCAAGCCTGGTGATGTAGGATATTCTGTTGTGAGCAGAGGAATGTAGTATTCTTCTCGTGAAATACTTCTGGACTCGCTCAATCGTATTAATGTCTGATATGCAGTGTGGATTCCAGACAGATGAGCTGTATTCGAGTATTGGTCTAGCAAAGGTTTTGTATGCCCTTAGTTATCAATTCAATATTACCGGAGGAGAAGCTTCATAAGATTAGATTTACAACTCTTAATGCCTTTTTGGCAATGCTGTTGCCGTGAGCTCTGGCACTTATGTCATTCGATATGAGTACTCCGAGGTCCTTGACAGAGTGAGGGTCGTCACCGAGGTCATATCTGCCTAGTTTGTGTTTGTTGTACTGATTATTTTTTTTTACCAATGTGTAGGACAGAGCATTTGTTGGTCGAGATTTGGAGTTGCCCATTTTCAAACGTTTTATTTTGTTGTCGGTTAAAACATAACCATTCCCAGAACCTCTGATCAAGAGACAACGCCTGAGCGAGAGAAACCTGGAGGTAAAGTAAAATCTGTGTATTTCGTGCAACTTTCTATAGGAAAGTACTTTGCAAATCACCGCCTCGACCTACAACAGTTCATTTAGTGACTGTTCAAAGTTACAACGGCACTGAAAAGAAGAAACTTCTCTGACCCTTTTTCACACGAATGACTTCCCCAGGGTCACGTGATCAAAATTCAAACGCTTGTCAACTGACTCGTATTTATGACGGTTGCAATGTCCCAGTCACGTGATCCCCTTTTGCGACCGTCTGACAAGCAAACTCAATGGGGAAGCCAGATTCACTTAACAACTACGTGACTAATTGAAGAACGGCAGTGATTCGCTTAACAAACGCGGCAAGAGAAGTTGTGACATGGGGCAAAGCTCACGCAACAAATTTCTCAGCAACATAAATTCTGGGCTCAATTGTGGTCATAAATCAAGGATCACCTGTACAAACAGATCCCCCTCCCCCCCCAGACAGCTCCAGCCATCCCCCTGCAATCACGGATAAATGCAGTACAAACAGCAAAGTCAACGCAACATTAACTTTTCCAATGTACAAAGATTAAAACATAATTTTCACCACGGCTCGGGCAGTTAATGTTTTAACCAAGCGAATCAGTGTTTAGGGAGCTGGAATGTAGATGGTTGTTCCTTAGGGATATGGCCATAGATGCCCCAAGCTCTTGTTTAAATGGCTTTTTTTAAATTTAGTTTTTGCTGCTAGTCTCTCGCAGAACTCCGTCGAGGCTTTGCAGAAGCTCAAGAACCACAGTTTGAAAAACTCAAGATTGGTGGTGGAAAGTCTTGTTATTGCACTCTGCAAAACGAAGAGCAGACTGGCCCCTCGCAGGTTGCAACCTTTTCCTCAAACCTCCAGGATGAAAGACGGGGAGTTTAAGACCGAGAGGGATAGAATCAAGATCATGTGAAGCGTTACTACTTTACAATGCCTTGGTAAGGTCGTCCTTGGAATACAACATCCGGTTTTGGCCGCCACGGTGTAAAAAAAGATGTTGAGACTCTAGAAAGAGTTCAGAGAAGAGCAACCAAGATGATTAAGGGATGATTAAGGGCTAAAACATATAAAGAACGGTTTCTGGAAACTGGGTATGTCTAGTCTGATGAAAAGGAGGATTTGGGGTGACATGATAGCAGTCTATCTCAGGGGCTGCCCCAAAGAAAAGGGAGTCAAGCTATTCTCCAAAGCACTTGAGGGCAGGACAAGAAGCAATGGATGG